AAGGAACTCAGTGGTACCCTTTCCCCCTCCCTACATGGGAGTCCATTCTGTGGGACTCTTCCCCCTTCCCACGTGGGAGTCTGTACTTGTTCTTTAATAAATTTCCACCTTTGCTATACCAAAAAAAAAAAAGTTTCTATTTCAATTGTGTTATATGGGCAAAGTGCACATGCAGCTAAGTTATTTTCTGTGCAAAGAGAGAAAATTTGAAAATAAAATGGTTCTCCAATTTCCAGATCAGGGACATACATGGGGAGATAGCTTACATGTGTGTGAAAGGCCAATAATAAGAGGCTGTGCCTTCCTATATTCCCCACCTCTTGTTCAACTACTCTATGAAGTCTGTGAATTAGAGGCCCAGACCACTGTGGTACGATTTCAGATAGGGAAACTCTTTTTTTTGTCTATATGAACATCTATAAAGTGCTTTTCTGAGAGTGAAAGCAACCTACCTTCCATATGTGTTACCGGGGAAACATCTAGTTGGGCTTGGGCTGCCCATCACTGTGTCCAATAACGAAGGCAGGTTTGAATCATATAAGGCGTTTATTGAGAAGGCAGGGCGCCTATAAGCATCAAATCCTGCCTTCCAGCAAGGTGCAGGGGACAGGATTATAAAGGGGAAGGGGCTGGCGTGCTATGTGCAGCCCTGGGGGTCCACAGACATCAGTTATTGTCTTTAGTCATCAGGGGATGAGATGATGTTGATGAGATGATGTTTTGACTTCTGGTGGGTCAGTCTGACCGCTTATCGGTTCTGCTTGCTGGATTCAGAGCTGAGTCACCTCCTTAATCGCTTCGCGCGGGCCTTAAAAAGGAAACTTAAGAAAAACTTATCCCCCTAATCACATAAGTATATGTGTTCTAAGATTTAAAATAATATGATTCTTTTTCAGATTAATTCAGGTGCTCTATCCATCAGATTATACATCTCACTATCATGTGGAATATGAAATTTGACATTAATATTACCAATGATAGTCTTTTTCACATCTTATGGAAAATCCTGACATCATATCCATAATTGTTACATTTAAAATAGTATGGTGCCCTAACCCTTTCCCTTCCTCTCTGTAAAAAAATCAATAAAATATATTTAAAAAAATAAAATAGTATGGCTTTAAAAAAAAAGAGCTGGGTAGAGGGGGCAAAAGGGGGGAAATAGGGACATCCTATATAATAATAATAAAAGGCTAATATGCAAATTGACTGAACAACAGAATGGCCGGTTGCTAGAGGTGGTGGCAGGAGCCTCTCCCACCTCTGGCAGCACTAAGAATGTCCAACTAACAATTTAGGCCTAATTCCTTGGGGGCCTAAGCCTTTAGTCGGACATCCCCCGAGGACTCCCTGGCTGCTAGAAGGATGTCTGACTGCAAGCTTAGGCCTGATCCCCTGGGGAGTGGGCCTAAGTCAACAGGTGGACATCCCCCAAGGGGGTCCTGGACTGCAAATGGGCGCAGGTCGGGCTGAGGGAGCCCCCCCACCGAGTGCACAAATTTTTGTGCACCGGGCCTCCAGTATATATATATATGTATATATAGCCAAGATAGGTTTTATATGTGTGTGTGTATAAGTAATATATATATATAGAATATATTACTTATATATAGAATATATTACTTAGCTATTTAAAAAAATGAATCTTGCCATTTGCAACACCATAGATAAATCTAAAGGCTATTATGCTGAGTGAAACAAGTCAGACAGAGAAAGACAAATACTGTATGGTTTCACTTATATGTGGAATCTTTAAAAACAAAACAGGTAAAGAAAAACATAAACAGGCTCAGAGGGGAGGGAATAGGGGGAATAAGTGAAAAAACTAAAGTCAGGAATAGGGTGATAAATTTAATAGTGGAAGATAATTATTAGAATTAGTGGGGAGATTGCGTAATAAGGTATAAAAATGTTAAATTATTGTATTGTCACCCGAAACTAATATAACAAATATAGTATGTATACCAACTATAGTTAAACTTAAAATATAGCAAAAAAAGTGATATTCAGGTATAGGATTTATTAATGCTGTTTCCATGTAAACTAGTTTGCAAACACTGAGTATTTATGTCATATATAAGAAAGTAATTTGTTAATTTTTTAAGACTAAATTTGAAGCAAGGGTTGCTTTGGTTGCTTCTTTTGAAAATTTTGTAGCATAACAGGTTTCTCATGTGAGGTAGTGCTTTCTGTTGTGTGACTCACTTTTGTTTTCTTCCCTCGTTTTCTTCAATGTCATCATCTTCCCATTTTTTACCTAAAGAAGCAGACCCAGAAAATTGGTTTCAACGTATTAGAAATTATACAAAAATTAGTAAATTCTATTTCTATGATGAGCTGTGACCATGCTCAGTTTATTTACCAATGTCCTCCTTTCTCACATTACCATCTTAGGACAATGTTGATGGGTAAGAAACACTTGTTCTCTAATTGAAAAAGTGAAGGAAAGTCACCATCCTTACCTAAGAAGGCCACGTTCCTGAAGGTTTCCCTCATCACATCTCTGTGGAGCTTTTTCTGTGAAGGATTCAGTAAGGCCCACTCCTCCTGGGTGAAGTTCACAGCCACATCCTCAAAGGCCACCGAGTCCTAAAACACCCCAATATGTGTCCATTAGGATGAGTGAGACTGACAGCACTGAACACTCAGATTCCATTTATAGGAAGGTTATGTATGATTTTCCCATTTCCAAACACCTCATCTATGACTCTATCATCAAAAATTTACTCTCTATCCCCACATTCACTTCCTTATACATTTAACACCATCATAAACACATGGAAATTATCAATGTATTTTTACTGTAACCACATTACATGTTTTTTAAATGGCAGGGGTTCAAACACTTTGGGGAAATCACAAAAATGCTATACAAATTAAACAAATATTATCATTTTCAGACCATCAATACCTTGTGAAAAAAATTCATATTTTTTTATTCACTATTTATAGGACTCCATAAAATAAGGTCATATCTGCATGAGGTTTCAGTAGAAGAACTGGAAACTTTTTCTTCTACTCCCATTACCAAAGCCAAGGAGTCCAAGAGGCTTGTGGAATTTCAATTTTTAACAAAGCCTAGCTGGTCATACATACTGCCTTAAAGTCCTCCATTAGAAGAACAGACATAGCTCACTTTAACTTTGCTTTCCTGTGCGTGGCAGTTATTGCGTTTTCATCATTTGAGACAATTACGTAGAATTAAAATGCATGACAGCCCTAGCTGGTTTGGCTGAGTGGGTAGAGCGTCGGCCTGTGGACTGAAGGGTCCCAGGTTCAATTCCAGTCAAGGGCATATGCCTGGGTTGCAGGCTTGATCCCCAGTAGCGGGCGTGCAGGAGGTGGCCTCTCTCATCATTGATGTTTTTCTCTCTCTCCCTCTTTCTCCCTCCCTCCCTCCCTCCCTCCCTCTCTCCCTCCCCACTCCCTTCCTCTCTAAAATCAATAAAAGTATACTTAAAAAAAAAAAGCAGCAAGAGAAAAGCAGTTAGTTGCCAACAAGGGAGCACCCATAAGACTGTCAGCTGATTTCTCAACAGATGGGATTGGCACAAAATATTCAAAGTGATGAAAAGCAAGGACCAATTACTCTACCCAGTAAAGCTATCATTTAGAATCGAAGGACAGATAAAGAGCTTCCCAGATAAGAAAAAGCTAAAGGAGTTCATCACCACCAAAACCAGTATTATAAGAAATACTAGAGGCCTGATGCACAAAATTCATGCAAGGGTAGGCCCTCGCAGCCCAGGCTTCCTCAGCCCTGGCAGTCGACTCAGCTGCCAACTCAGCCCTCACAGCCCCGGCTTTGTTCGGAAGGTTGTCCAGATGGTCGTTCGGACGTTTGGTAGATTTACATATTATGCTTTTATTATTATAGATTAAAGGATATTCGTTAAGAAGGAAAAAAAGATTTAAAATATGAATAAATGGCCATATAAAAGAATAAATCTTATCATCTGCGACAGCATGGACGGACCTAGAATGGTATTATGTTAAGTGAAACAAGTCAGACAGAGAAAGATAAATAGCATATGATTTCACTTCTATGTGGAATCTAAAGAATAATATAAACAAGCTAACAAAAAAAGACTTATACAGAGAACAGACTGATTATTGTCAGAGGGGAGGCAGAAGAGGAACTTTGTGAAAAATGTAAAGGATTAAGAAGTACAGTTTGTAGTTATAAAGTACAGCATAGTAAATAGTAATATTATAACAACAATGTATGGTAGCAGGTGGGTACTAGGAATATTAGGGGGAATACTTTGTAAAGTATATGATTAACTATTACGCTGTACACCTGAAACTAATACAAAATAATATTGAATGTGAACTGTAATTTTAATTAAAAAAAATTTTTAATTAAAAAAATTAACAGAATAACCTAGAAGTGATTAAAACTGACTGAGAATAGCTAGAGTAAGAAAACAGGAGTGTAGCAGGATATATGGCAAGGGGTCTTCTTATGTTAGTTTCTTATATGAGGAATTTAATTAACCTTCCAATGCACTATTAAACAAAAAGAAGAAATTTATATATATTTCACTATGCTTAATCATTATTTTTGCTTTTTAGAATTAATTTTAAATACAGAATACCATTTCAAGATTTAATGCTTTAAACATTAATGGATATAAAACTGAAAGCCATCAAATATTTTCAAATCCCTTTTCTTTCTTTTTTTCTTTTTTATTGAATTTATTGGTGACACTGGTTAACAAACTTATACAGGTTCCAAGTGTGCAATTTTGTAACACTTCATCTATACACTATATTTTGTGTTCAGCATCAAGTCCCTTTCTGATAAAAAGGACAAGATGCATGATGATCAGTCTAGTCAGTCCCTCACTATATTGCACACAGGGGATATTTTCAGGAATCAGAATGTATTATAATGCCTAAGGGGTTTGGAATTAAGCCCTGAAATGAATTAGAAAATTTAGACTTCCATAAGTTTTGAGGTGTTTTCTTCATATCAATGAATATAAAAATACAATTGTGTTTTTTCCCAATAGCCATTGAAATAGGTAATCATCTGCCTTAGGAATGATATTGCCTTTCCAAAGTAAAAATTCTCTAGAGACATGGACATACAAACACTGACCAAAAAGCAGAAAGAAAGAAACCCTGAGAATTTTAAAACATCCATCTCACATCTTAACTTTTTCTTGCTAAAGGGAATCAAAATTCTACTTGGTTCCATAACTATCTTTCCTTATGCACAGGGTATTTCTCATTCAAACTACATATGAAAAGCCCAAATGCTACTGAACACTAGAATTAAAGGGCTGCAATATTCACTGTTGAAAGAAATCCAAAGGAAGGAAACACAAATATTGCAATCAATGCAGATAAGCAGCCTGCTTTCCTACAGTTCAGGAAATCCACATTCAGAAATTTGAACATAATCGCAAGCCTGGGGTCCAGACACTCCTGGATTGAGACAGAACCTCTAGAGTGGGTCAGTCCCTGGGGAGGTGGGTGGAAAGGGACACCTGAGCAGCCCCAAGAATGAAATCTGGGAGCTCTACAACCCTCCCCTCTCCTGTAAGCATGGAAGCGCTCCCTCCCCAGGCTTCCATTCTCACAGAGAAGCAACTCTCAGACTGATACAGTTTAAGGTTCTGGCCCAAATGAACTCCCCAGTCATAAACCCTTTGTCTCCAAGACAGAAACCCTGATCTTTATAGCCTTTCTCCATGTGCACAAATTACTCTGAGTGCACCTACACGTGGATGCAAAACTCAAACATAAGATCTTAAAATGTCTAGGCCTAAAGAACCACACCACAACCTCAAAAAGGGCATCATCATTGCCTGCACCCCCTTATCCAGCTGTATTCCCCACCCCCTCCCCCGATCCTCCCTATCCCCTAGCTTTCTAGTTTTTCTCATGCAAAATATCCACAAATATAAATCTTTTAAAAAGAGAATTCCGTCGGTTGCTTCCAGCATGTGCAAACGATGGGTGCACGAATGGGTGGAGCAACAAAATCCATCTCTCTCCCTCTCCCTCTCTCTCCCTTCTTCTATCACTAACTCAATTTTTTAATTAAAAAAAAAAGAGCATTCCATTCATCTGTAAAAAGATAAACAATTAAAATAATCTTTTTGAAATGTACCCCAGAGGACAAGTAGTTGATAATGAGGCTGTGACTCAAATGGGGATAGTTGGTCTTGGAAATGCCTGGAAGAAACTGGAAATTTGGAGACTTACTGCCAGCCCTAGGTGGAGACAGGTCCAGGGGACAAGGTTTTGGATTTGAGACCCTGTTTCACACAAAAATGAGAACTCGGGAGAAAATGGGCATTCCCTGATGAAAAAGAAAAATCAGGGTCCCCACAAACCTCTCATGCACAAACCCCAAAGACTGAGTCACGACTGTCCTCCGATGACCCTCCCTGAGCCACGACAACGTCTGGGGAGATGTGAGGCTGGGGGCTCAGAGCTTCCCGGAAAGAGAAGTAAATAGTACATTCGGTCCGGCTGCCTGCCCAGTCCTCGCGTGAATTCTGCAGGGGACCGAAGTCCCCAGAAGCCCCCAGTGGACTCCAGTTGCAGATCCTGGACTTGACCGCCAGGAGGCCCGTTTCCGCCACAGCCAGTTCCAGCCAGCCCCTCATCCCTGATTGCACACCAGCCCCTGGCCCCGCACACTCACCATTTCTAGGTTTCCTGAGTCCTGACACGATTCCCGTGACCAGCACAGACCACAGCACCGCACAGACTGGGGAAGAGCCACCACAGACCGTGAACTGTGGCTAAGTGGTCACCAGCTAGCCGGGAGCGTGGATGGAATGTCCTTACCTATGCGGTGCGTCAGCCCACCCACCTGTTTCAACGGAGCTTCTGATCGAACAGAAATCCATACATAACCCCACCCCTGCCTGATTGACACCAGAGGGGATGAGGCGGGGTTCATTCAGCCAAACCAGCCTCTTCTTGGCACGTTTGACTATGGAGCTGACTACTGTGTTCGCCCAGCTCTCTGTGAACACAGGGGCACAGGCGTGCACAGAGAATTCCTGATTCAGTTTCCAAATGAAGGAACATGAGGGCAGGCAGGCCAGGCCACACTGGAACAGTGTCTTACGTCCAGAGGTCAGGGGCGTGGTGCAAGGCTGTCAGGCCACTGAGACCCTAGTTTAGAAACATGGACACAATGTGACCTCACTATCTGTAATAGAGTCTGGCTCTGTTTCAATCTCTGATGCTTCCCAACCTTGAGCTTTCCACCGATCCCTGCCCACCCACAGTCATTCTGTCCTTAAGAGAAAGAATCCCAGAGCATTGGGCTCTGGTGGGAAGTTGGAATCCTGGAGCCCCAGCCTGGGTGGCCCTAACCACAGGGTGCGAGACGTGTTCATTACATTCTCAGATGTATATTTCACACTATAAGGAAATTTAATTCAGATCAGTTTTTGCCTATTCCTAGAAAACTTTAAAATGTAAAAAAACCAAAATTACAGTGACTATAGAAAGAAAAAGAACAATCTGTTAATAGCTGGGGACCAGCTCTGACAAAAATGGCTCACATTCTTTATGTCTGTTGCAACTTCAAATAACTTCCACCTGGCTATTTCCACTAC